GATCTGCCGGTTGTTGTATCCGTTCTTCTTGAATACATCCTTCAGGAGCACCAACTCCGCATGTAGGCTGTCTTGATCACACAGTGCTCTGGCCCTGTGCACCAATGTAGAAAGTGCAGCTTGCTTGTTGGAAGGGTGGTGGTGGGACGCAGCGTTAAGGTACAGGTTAGTATGGGTGGATTTGCGGTACACTCTATGGCCCAGGGAACCGTCGGGTCTCCTGTAAATATCTATATCCAGGAAGGGTAGGTGGCCTTCAGTTTCAGTTTCCATTGTGAACTGGATGCACTGATTGATACTATTTATGTGGTTCAGGAAGTCCTGGAGCTTGTCGGGACCGTGTGACCAGATGACGAAGGTGTCGTCCACGTAGCGAAACCAGCAGCGGGGCTTGTGTGGGGCCAAGTCAAGTGCCCTCTCCTCGAAGTCCTCCATATAGAGGTTAGAGATGACCGGAGAGAGTGGCAAGCCCATCGCCACGCCATCGGTTTGTTCATAGAACTGGTCATTGAAGGTGAAGTATGAGGTGGTCAGGACATGGCGGAAGAGTCTCAAGATGTTTTCTTCGAAATGTCGTCCTAGCAGATCCATTGTATCACTCTTCACCAGGGTGCCTATAAAAGGTACGATGGATCTGCTAGGACGACATTTCGAAGAAAACATCTTACTTCACCTTCAGTGACCAGTTCTACGAACAAACCGACGTGAAAGCCTCAAATCATTTATAGCTGATTCTCTGGATTCCTTTCTACAGTCATGCGTCATCGAAATGTTCGGTAGCCAGCCTATGCAAAAGGCGTGGTGATATCTTACATGAATATGTGAACTCTTGTAGTGTGGTCATTGGAGAGACATAAAACGCTATGTTCTTCAATAGAAGGCCGGGATACTGAGCCATGATGTACTCATCTGGCTCATGCATGTTGCATCCTGCCATTCCTTAACCCCATCCCCACCAGCATTATGCTGACGTCTGTGCCGTTATTTCTACCTATGTAGACCATATGACCTTTCTTCCCTCTCCTGATGTCTCGGAAGGAAGTAATTATTATTTCTGCTGAATTTTGGTGTAACCTATTCGATGGCTTTAAAGAGGCTGGTGCAAATGAGGCAGTTTAGTTTTATATTTGTTACGACTGTCCATAATATGTGATTAAGTGGGCAATCGCTACTTTGGGTTGTGGTGCCTCGCCCTTTTGGGTTTCATGCCTTGCTTATTTATTTCTATATATTGTGTGTGAGTTTCTTTTTTCTTATGTTGGCTATTAAATATTGTTATTGTTTGTTTTGAAAGCCTGCATATATGTTATATCCTCCGTAAAGGCTTGGATACCCCATGAACACCCTGGGGAGCTTCCAAACACAACAGAACTGCTCCTCTCGACTTCTATCTTATGAAGCGCTAGTAGCACGAGACAGTACGAGTACGATTAGAGAGAGAGAAGGGAAGGGGTGTTTTTAACAGTTACGTATGTTCAGGATATGTCTCAAACTGTAAATGATACACACACAGTTTGACCATTAATTTCCCGAATCGAGGCCGTAAAATTCCACACACAAAATATATTGTCACGTGTTGGGTGTTTGACGCGACAAATAACTTCACACCGTCTTGGTTGTAGCGAATTTATTGTACACTAGCTCTTACACTTACACATTGTTCTCTATTTGAGCTGCCAGACACGCAATCAGGGACTGGACAAATATAAAACACAAGAAATACTGGGGATCCTTGACTGGACTCAGGCAAGCGAAGGGACTCATAAGACGACCCTCAGCTAAAAGAGCGAAGGAACTGTTGAAGTTAAACAGGAACCAGCTACGA